ACGCCGCCAGGGGGATGAGGTAGAGACGGTGTATCGTTAAACAAGCATGGGGCGTGTCGAGGGCTGCTGTCTCCTGGGGTGAGGCTGTGGGGAGGAGAGAGAGGTGGGTGGCATCTGCTTTCCAACCTCTCGTCATCACTAGTCCTTCCGCCTCGTCGTCACTACCTTCTTCCTCCTCGTCGTCACTCCCTCTTCCTCCTCTTCCTGACAACATCTTCCTCCTCCTGGGTTAACGAAAATTAGTGGTGGACGGTTTTCATTACCGTCCTCCTTGTCCTTTTTTCCTTCCCTTCCCCTCCTCCCACCCCTCTCCCCTTTTCATCCTCCTGACCTCTCAAAAGGAAGAAAAAAATATTGACCATTCGGAAATTGAAGACATGAGGAAGGAGGTGGCCATCTTGTTACTAACCAGCTAAGGCAGCGATCAAGTGGGGTGAACGACTGAGCGTAAACATTGGGACGGGTTAAGTGTAGATAAAAGGTGTTGGTGTGTTCCTGTGTCCTCGTGGTCGACTACACCTCGCTACGAACGGGGGTGTAGGTTAGGTTTGGAATGAATGAAAGGTGAATGTAATAATCTAGTGTGTGGTGATGAAGGGACTAGTACTATAGCTGTGTAAGTTTATGCCATATTGGTGTCAACAGAGGACCCACCTGACGAAGTAGGTAGCGAGACTGTTATTTCGTTCATCTGTTGATTTGGTTCATAGTACGAGTAGCCTCCTGCCCCATCCACCCCCAGCCCACCCCACCACCCACCCCAACCACCCCAGCCCACCCCAACTATAATCATCAGTCCTGAATAAACTTAAGTTGGAGGGAGGGATTTCGTCAACTCACCTACTTTGATGGTTGAGCTTTGTCCAGGTGGGGAAATTTTCTCATGTGATTTTTTTCCCCTGGAGCGGGTTGGTGGGGGGAATTTATTGTCCTTGTACCACCGCCGTTATCATCCCCCTTCCCATTCTCCCCCCTCCCCACCAGATGACCCCAGGGAGCACCATCACGCACTCGGCCAGGAGAGGATAACAATGATGCCACTACCCAGCTGATCATGGCGGGGAGGGAGGAGGCGGGGAGGGGCGGTGAGGGGGGCGAGGAGGCCGGGGTGAGGAGGGCTGAGTGAAGAGGCCGAGTGAAGGGCTGAGTGAGTGAGAGGGTTAAGTGAGGTGGGTCAGGCATTGTGGGCCGAGTGAGGTGGGCCGCTGAGGAGGGCCAGGCGAAGGAGGGCCAGGCGAAGGTGGGCCAAGGTGGTGAAATCATACTGCAGTGCTGTCGAAGGTTTACGTTCCCAGACACTCAGACGTATCTAAAGGACAATGAGATGTGAGTGACTTAAGGAACACACACCCATGTAGCTCACGTAACCTGTAACACACACCCATGTTGCTCACGTAACCCGGAACACACACCCATGTTGCTCACGTAACCTGGAACACACACCCATGTTGCTCACGTAACCCGGAACACACACCCATGTTGCTCACGTAACCTGTAACACACACCCATGTTGCTCACGTAACCCAAACACACACCCATGTTGCTCACGTAACCTGAACACACACCCATGTTGCTCACGTAACCTGTAACACACACCCATGTTGCTCACGTAACCTGGAACACACAACCAATGTCACATAACCTGTAACACACACCCATGTTGCTCACGTAACCTGGAACACACACCCATGTTGCCAACCGGAACACACACCATGTTGCTCACGTCCCGTAACAACACCATGTTGCTCACGTAACCTGTAACACACACCCAGTGCTCACGTAACCTGCCCATGTTGCTCACGTACGCAACCTGTTGCTCCGTAACCTGTAACACACACCCATGCTCACGTAACCTGGAACACACACACCCATGTTGTTCACGTAACCTGAACACACACACCCATGTTGCTCACGTAACCTGGAACACACACCCATGTTGCCACGTAACCCGGAACACACACCCATGTTGCCGTAACCCGGAACACACACCCATGTTGCTCACGTACCGTAACACACACCCATGTTGCTCACGTAACCCGGAACACACACCATGTTGCTCACGTAACCCGAACACACACCCATGTTGCTCACGTAACCCGAACACACACCCATGTTGCTCACGTAACCCGGAACACACACCCATGTTGCTCACGTAACCTGGAACACACACCCATGTTGCTCACGTAACCTGTAACACACACCCATGTTGCTCACGTAACCTGGAACACAAAGACGGGAACCACAGTAACGACGACCTTGTTACTGGACTTTATTGTAACATTCTTCTTTAGTCGCTGTAGGGTGGAGGTGATATAGGAGTGTGAGAGTAACTGTAAATAGACTGTTAGTTTGGTTCACTACCTGACTGTTTGAGGGTTATGTTGGCAGCCAGACACTCATACTATCGACAAAATATTATTTCTCCCCTATTGCTTTCCTCCCCTCCTCCCCCTTTCCTCTCTCCTCCCCTCCCCAGTCTCCTCCACCTATTTTACTCCCCCTCTCCCCATAATAACAACAACAGCACACAGGTAAGTCTGAACAGGTTGAGACAGGTGAGGGGTCAGGGGTCAGGTCAATGCTCTATTGTTTACGTCTCTCCGTCCTTCATATCCTCAACAACCTACCACACGTGAGGGGGTTGATGGTAGAGGGGTGATGGTGGTGAGGGGGGGAGTGATGGTGGTGAGGGGAGGACGGGAAGGATGGTGGTGGGAGGTGGTAGGAGGGGAGGGAGGTAGAGGGGGATGGTTATAGGTTTGGAGGGTTAGGTTGGGGGTAGTGGTGGTCTAATCCTTCTGGTGGCCCTTATCTCGTTCCCCCGTGATGGCAGATCAGTACTAATCCCGTTAGATTAAATCACAGTGAACAGTAAGCAGCTTTTGTCCCCGAGGTGATGACTCATCCAGTACAGATGTTTGTTCAGTAGCAGTTCAGTACAGATGTTTGTTCAGTAGCAGTTCAGTCAGTAAGGGTGTTCAGTAGCAGTTCAGCAGCGGTGTTCACTATGTTATAAAGGCCAGCTCCCCAACAGGCGTCGAGTTGTCCTATGCCCAGTGTTCACATTGTAACCCAACCGAACCTAACCAAAACCCAACCTAACCTAACCCAACCTAACCTAACCAAAACCCAACCTAACCCAACCAAAACCCAACCTAATCCTAACCTAACCTAACCTAACCTAACCTATACCTGGTGTCACCACGAGATGAGACAGGTGTGTTTTACCTCGTCAGCAAGGTGGTGGTGGTGGTGGTGCAGAGGTGTGCGGTCAGGGAAGGTGATACAGGGGCGGCCACACCACCACCGCACACACACACCAGGCAACACACACACACACACCCAGGCAACACACACACATACACACACACACCAGGCAACACTCACATACACCAGCAACACACACACACCAGGCAACACTCACATACACAGGCAACACACACACACACCAGGCAACACTCACATATACCAGGCAACACACACACACCAGGCAACACTCCTCACCAGGCAACGCTCACATACACACACACACACACACACCAGGCCACCTACATCACCAGGCAACACACACACACACACACACACACACACACACCAGGCAACACCATACACCAGGCAACACACACATACCACACATCCAGTACCAGGCAACACGTGTTGTCCTATCTGGAGGTGTTATAGTTCTTCGAAGATGTTGTTGATGAAGTGTGGTGCTTTGTGTGAGGTGAGGAGAGTGAGAGGTGAGGAGAGTGAGAGGTGTGAGAGTGAGAGGTGAGGAGAGTGAGAGGTGAGGAGAGTGAGAGGTGGGGAGAGGGAGAGGTGAGGAGAGTGAGATAAGAGGTGAGGTAAAGAATGTGACACGTGGTAGTTGTACATCCATCATCCTGTAAGACGTGAGTGAGTAAGTGGAGTGAGTGAGTAAGGAGTGAGTGAGGAGGAGTGAGTGGGGGTGAGGAGGAGGCGTGAGTGAGTGAGGAGGATGGAGTAGGAGTGTGTGTGTTTGTGTAAGGTGGGGAACCCTTCATATATCATGAGAGAGGGGGAGGGGGGTGTCACACACCACACCCCACAACGCCACACCACACCTCGCTGGCCGTGATTTACCACATGCTGCGTGACAACAACCACTCACAATTACGGTCAATTAGAGAAAGTGTAGTAGTTTAGCTTGAGAACTGTCTGTACTGGTTGTTAAGTAGTGTCAGACGGCTCTCATGGTGTACTCCCCTGACTGTGGGCTGACCGGAACTGACTCGTGATGGTAAATGGGTTGTAATTTTTCGTGGAATTGGTAGTGATTCATACTGGCTGGCTGTCTGTCTGTCTGTCTGTCTGTCTGTCTGTTGTAAATTACTTGTCAGGACACTTAACTGTGTGTGTGTGTGTTATAGCTGTAGAAGTTAATATATCTTCCTTATGTTGACAGTTGAAGGAGGTAGGATAGTGGTTAGGAGAGAGAGAGAGGGAGAGAGAGAGGGCGGGGCCTGACAGTAGTGGATGAGTTCAGCGAGTAGGGGACCGTGGGACACTGGGAGTGGGACGTGGGAGGACCCGGAGGAGGGCAGCCACCACCAGCACCAGGCAGTCAGTCGTTCCTCAGTCGTGGTAGAGAGAGGATGTGTGGCTGGCGCTCCGCTGTGAGGCTGTCTTAGTGTGTCGCGTCACGGTGCTTCTTGCGGTTAACTCCTCTTGTGTTTCGTTAATATAATTTGCATCATGACTCAAGGAAGATGATTGTGTTATCACCGTAATAATGTGGTTAATTAGATAAACATCGAGTCGTAACAAGGATGAATTTATTTTAATAGAGAGGAAGAGTTGTGTGTTGACAATGGATATAACAAAAGGATTCCTGTGATCACGGAACAACAGTTGTGGTAACAGTGTGTGCAATATACTGAGTGGAGTTGTACCAGCGTTATTAATGGACCTCGTTGGCAAGTGAAGGGTTGTGATAAACATGTTAAGTTCAGAGTGTGACTAAAGTGAGTTGTAGTAGTATGGTGTACCTGAGCGAGGGTGGGCAGGGCGGGGGGCGAGTGGTGCTGCCCTCTCCCGGCTCAGAGCCCCGCCTGCCACCATACTCTCCCCCGCGGGTGCCTCATCACCACCACTTCTTCCCTCAGGGCTTCCCCCACCACCATCACCACCACCACTTCTACCACGCCATCTCCGACTATTACGATCTCACATCCTCACAGCCCAGCAGCCTCAATAGTCAGGACACGGCGCCCATCAAAGATCCACCTCCACCCTACCCGCCCACTACTAACCTTAAGGCCGCCCATGCCGCCCTTAACCACGGGCCCTCCAGTGCCTCTCCCCCACCCACTAAGACCATTAAGTACTTACCCCCGCCCTACACGCCCGCAGACACTACCAGCAGCAGTGGTCGTTTGAAGGTTCTCCCGCCCCAGGTCCAGCAGCCGCCCGGACCCCGTGCCCCAGGCAGCAGGGACCTCTCCGGGCACGCCACGGATCCCCGCCACAGGACACGACGTCCACACTCCCACAGACACCAGCCAGAAAAGACCCGCCCTTGGACCATCGCGACGGGAGACAACGTGAGCCGGGGGCAGACCACAGGCCGTCCAGCGGGTCTCGGAGGGTGCAGGCCGGGCCAGACCGTCACAGTAACAGTCACTCCGGCCAGAATGGCTACCTCGGCCCCAGCAGGTGTGTCACGGGAAGCGGCCACCCGCGGGGGCCACTGCTCAGAACAGGCAAAAGCTTGGAGCTGCCCCACGAGCGGTTGTCACAGCATCACCCGCCTCCCACCGCCCACACCCCCCCCCACCCCCGCCACCCTCATCTCAGTCATCATCACACCAAAGACATAAGTCAACATCACCGCACCAAAGAGCCTCTTGGCACCAGTACACGTTCTAAGTCAAACCACTAGCGTATGTGGGTATCCTGCCCTCCAAGCCCTCCCAGGGGCGTGAGAGGCCCCAGAAATCCAGGCCACCCGCAGCCTTGATGACCTCACTGAGCCCCTGTACGAAAATTTTGACATCATCCACGCCCACGCCCGCAGAACACACGAGAGGATCGCCCACAACACCAGCGTACCGGACCTGCTGGATCCACCTCCACGACCTCCCCGTCAGCGCAACAGTTCGCTGTCATCTTTGCTGGACGACATGAGCAGCGGTGGCGCAGCAGCCTTGTCCCGCGGCCCTCAACACGAGTGTACCCGACGTGCTGGAGGGCGGAGGGTTGTCCTGGGGCTCCCCGACCTCCACCCTCCGCTCCTCGGCCTCCACCACCGCCCCAGTCTGTGACCGTGACACTACCAGTGACATCAGCGTCCAATTGCAGAAGATACGGGAGGTGGCGCGGGTGCTGGGGGTTAAATACCGCAGAGGGGAACTATCATCATCTTCCGCCAGCAGTAGTGGTGCTGGCTCCACCCACACCAGCCCCCGCATGCCCTCACGCCCTCAACGTCCTCACTCCCCCCTCACACGCCCCTGGAGTGCCTGCACGTGCTCCCGTCATCCACGACGTACTGAGGGATGGTCGGAAGGTGTCACCCCAGCACCAGCCGCCAGCCACCCACGACACAGACGCCATCAGTCAAGAGAGCGGCTACAGCTCCGTAGACTCGAGGACCTACAGGCAGCAGCAGCATTACCTCCAGCAGTCTCCGCCTCAACCTGGCAAACCCCAACAAGAGCAGAGGCCTAGAGATCACCCGCAGTTAAGTCAAGTTAAACAACCACTCCTGAAAAGTCTTCATCAGTATAAGCCAAGTCAAAAGGAATGTGTGCAGAGTGTATCACAGCTCCAGCAGAAACACTGTCAGAGACTCAGTCAACCCAACACCAAAGGTCAACAACAACAGGCAAGAGACTCCCGCCAGCAGGCTGACGTCTTCCTTCACAACCATTATAACCAACACCAACTTGACAGTCTTCAACAACACAACCGACAACTACAACAACACCAACGCCAACAAAAACAACAACAGCAACCACAACAGAAACTGCATCAACAACAACAGCATCATCATCAACAACAAAAACAGCATCAACAACAGGAGCGGCATCAACAACAACTAAGACAACAGAAACAGCAGCAACTCCAACAGTCTGTTCAACAGCTGGAGCTACAGCAGGTGTGTGAAGCTGTAATGTTTATCTGATAGTAACACTTGGCGTCTCCTGGGTTTCTATAACATTGACCAAGCTGTGTTTCTCCTGCAGCTGGACCGAGGCCTTTGTTGTTACACTTATACTTAGTATTCAAGTAGAGGCAGCGTGTTAAATGGCGGGGCCCAGAAGGTTAGGTTAGGTAAAGGTTAACAGTTCATCACGTCTTGTTTCTCCTGTTCACTCGACCAACATAAGAACAGCGCTGGTGAAGGTAGTGTGTCTCCTAATGTCAGGTGTGTGTGTCTAATGGCAGGTGTGTGTGTGTCCTAACGGCATGTGTGTGTCCTAATGGCAGGTGTGTGTCGGGTATAATATCGTAAGTAAAACACACATAATCCTCCCTAAGTCATTTTTCTTGTATTTCTGATGGAACATGAAGCCACGAGTGTCTTTGCTGACTCCAGTGTGTGTTTTAGATTCGGTTAGGTTAATGTTAGATTACGTTAGGTTAATGTTACCTTACGTTAATGTTACGTTACATTAATGTTACGTTACGTTAATGCCAGGGTGGTTAATCTTCAGATGAAATAAAATGTTTCCCCCTCACACTACACCATTGGTATTTGACATTTCATTTACCATTTACAACGCAAACTCGGCAGCCTACACGAGTCTGTACTGCCCTCTGGTTTAACAGTTAGTCACAGGGAGCATTATGACTGGGCGTGTAGAACCGGTATGGTATTGTGGTCACCGTGCGTCTGACTTGAGAAAGAAGTGATCCCCTGAAGATTAGCCCCCTCCCTGCCTCCCTTAGTTTGTTTTACCTTATGATTAAACACTCTAATGCTACTTGGGGACTACTTTAACGTTGGGGTGGTAATCTCCAGGTGAAATAAACTTGGGGACTAATCTTTAGGTGAAATAAACTTGGGGACTAATCTTCAGGTGTAATAAACTTGGGGACTAATCTTTAGGTGTAATAAACTTGGGGACTAATCTTTAGGTGAAATAAACTGGGGGACTAATCTTCAGGTGAAATAAGGTGAGGTTAGGTTAGTAAACATTGTGTGAAGTGAAGCTGTGTGTTGACGGTGGGGGAGGGCACAAGGTTGTACTGCAGGGTGAAGTTCTGGGTCCTGGCTCAGTTCATTGGAAAGTTGTTGGAGCTTCCAATAACTTGCTTAGACATAAACCATTGACTCTTCAGGCTTCTACGCCATTGACTCTTCAGGCTTCTACGCCTTGACTCTTCAGGCTTCTACGCCCTTGACTCTTCAGGCTTCTACGCCCTTGACTCTTCAGGCTTCTACGCCATTGACTCTTCAGGCTTCTACGCCATTGACTCTTCAGGCTTCTACGCCATTGACTCTTCAGGCTTCTACGCCCTTGACTCTTCAGGCTTCTACGCCATTGACTCTTCAGGCTTCTACGCCCTTGACTCTTCAGGCTTCTACGCCCTTAACTCTTGAACATAAAGGCAAGCATGAACTTAGCATGCTTCCCTGGGCGCTGTAAACGCTTCTGCGCTTCACCTTAACACGAGGATGTTGGGGGGACAATGATAAAAAAAGCTTTAACATGGTGTTGAAGAAGTGCGTGTGTATGTATGTGTGTGTGTGTGTGTGTGTGTGCGTGCGTGTGTCTTAAAGAACTGGCGACATTATTGTGTAAGTGTCATTGTTTTTGTTAAATGGCACCAATGTTGATTCATCTCTCTCTCTCTCTCTGTTTACACACACACACACACACACACACAGAGGATCAACAGGGTAATATTGTATTGAGGTTGATGGCGTAATGGTGGATTGATGTGGGTATCATGTGGGGTGTGGGCTACCCTCACCCTCTGTTACCTCACGCATTGTATATATACGTCTATACATTAGGGTTAACAAGTGAGACAAACACCATGATAGATCCTGTTACTCTGATAAGCACCATGATAGATCCTGTTACTCTGATAAGCACCATGATGGATCCTGTTACTCTGATAAGCACCATGATGGATCCTGTTACTCTGATAAGCACCATGATAGATCCTGTTACTCTGATAAGCACCATGATAGATCCTGTTACTCTGATAAGCACCATGATAGATCCTGTTGACCTCAATTACAGTATGTCTTGCCATTGAGGAGATAGTTAAGGCCTTTGTCGTGACTAACAATACACTTGTTTGGATGTGGCGCAACAGTGACTCACCATAGTGTTATGTACGGCTCTGTGGTGTCGCGGTGGTAATGGATGGCGTAGGTTAGGTTAGTAGTGGATGAGTGGAATACAATTAGAAATCACCCAACAATGTCATTAACTCGAACACGCTGGGAAGCTTCAATTAATAAGTTAGACAGATATATGAGTGATGAGGGTTAGGTGTACACAGGGCTGCTTAGTATGGACCAATAGACCCACTGTAGTTACCTCATGTCTTGTGTTCTTACCGACCCATTACATGCCTCTAACTACCCGGGTATCGTATTTTAATAGTTCTTATTTATTTATTAATCTACGGTAAGGTCGTAAGTGGATAATTGTTTGGCCAGTAGTAGTCATTCATTACCTGTAGGAGACCGGGCTAATTACTCGCGTCACGATGGACACCAGGTGAGGTGTACGTCTGTTTGTGGTGCCTTAGGTGACTGAGTGGAGCTGTGGTGGGTACACGCTTGGCCGCCTACAGCAAGCCAACACGTTCTTTGGTTAATGATGTAAAGGTTACTTAGTCCTGGACCCGTTATAAAAGATCAGATTGCATGTACACACTCTAGCCGCGGGTTACTGTGTACAAGATAACGAAGCATTTACCTTAGGGAAGACCTTAGTGTTTAGGGGAGACCTCAGGTTACGGGTGTTTAGATGAGAGGAGCCATACGATGGTTTATGGCAACAATGGCTCGCTGGCGATGTCTTCAATCGTGGGAAGAGAACTCTGAATTTTATAAGTGCGGGAAGATGAGCCGCTATTAGTTAAGACGTGAGGTGGGTGTTGTAGCGAGTCACGGCGGGAACTGGTGCGCCGGATGGTGTAGGGGGAGGGTGTGTGGTGAGGGGGAGGTTGTGGTAGGGGGTGGGTTTAATGATGCTTATTACCAGCATCCGCCCACCCTCTGCCTCCCCTCCTGGCCTAGACGTCATCGTATTGTTAGTTATCTCTCAATGAAGACAAGATTCAAGGGGATAATTAAAATACTGAATGTTGCAAATTGTCTTTGTCTTACCTGTTCAACATACTTGGCTGGAAACTGATCAAGGTTGTGTTACAGAGAGAGAGAGAGGGGGGGGAGGGCAGGTTGCGGCAGAAAGTTGAAGCATTGCAGGTTGCCATTTGCTGTGTGATGGTATCTGGAGTTAGCGGCCATCTTAGCGACTGGGCTGTAATTAACCTGGGGTTTTTATTGTCCTCACCTTGACGCCTTCCTCCACACGTTCCCACGCCGTCGAGGGCCGCTGGAAAGGAAAGGATAGCGGAGGTGTAGGAGGAGTGAAGGCCTCCTCCCCACTCAACACAGTACAGCACGACACAACACAGTACAAGGCGACACAACACAGATACAGCAAGTGACACAACACAGTACAGCAACACAACACAGTACAGCACGACACAACACAGTACAGCACTGACACAACACAGTACAGCACGACACAACACAGTACAGCACGACACAACACAGTACAGCACGACACAACACAGTACAGCACGACACAAATACAGTACAGCACGACACACATAGTACAGCACGACACAACACAGTACAGCACGACATACAATACAGTACAAAGGACACAACACAGTATGCACACAACACAGTACAGCACGACACAAATACAGTACAGCACGACACAACACAGTACAGCACGACACAACACAGTACAGCACGACACAACACAGTACAGCACGACACAACACAGTACAGCACGACACAACACAGTACAGCACGACACAACACAGTACAGCACGACACAACACAGTACAGCACGACACAACACAGTACAGCACGACACAACGCAATTACAGCACACAACACAGTACAGCACGACACAACACAGTACAGCACGACACAACACAGTACAGCCGACACAACACAGTACAGCACGACACAACACAATTACAGCGACACAACAGTACAGCACGACACAACACAGTACAGCGACACAACGTGGTGCAATACGACACAACACAGTACAGCACGACACAACACAATACAACTGACACAACACAATTACAGCACGACACAACACAGTACAGCATGACACAACACAGTACAGCACGACCTATACTGGTACAGCACTGACACAACACAGTACAGCACGACACAACACAGTACAGCGCGACACAACACAGTACAGCCGACACAACACAGTACAGCACGACACAACACAGTACAGCACGACACAACACAGTACAGCACGACACAACACAGTACAGCACGACACAACACAGTACAGCGCGACACAACACAGTACAGCACGACTAACCTGAAGGACCTTAACAACCTCACATTACTTTTATTCAAGGTGGAGTAACATTTTGTCTTGCGATGAGATTGGTGTGACATGAGGTGTGTGACATGCAGGGAGGTGTGTGGACATGGGGTGTGGTGTGACATCAGGGGGTGTGTGTGACTGAGGAGGTGTGGTGTGACATGCAGGGAGAGTGTGTGTGACCAGGGGGGTGCGGGAGTGTGTGCATGCAGGGAGGTGTGTGTGTGATGCTGAGGGAGGTGTGTGTGACATGCAGGGTGGGAGAGTTGTGTGTGTGACAATGCAGGGAGGTGTTGACATGCAGGGGAGTGTGTGTGACAGGGGGGTGTTGACAGCCAGGGATTGTGTGTGACATGGGGAGGTGTGTGTGACATCAGGGGAGGTGTTGTGTGGACATGCAGGGAGGTGTGTGTGACATGCAAGGTGTGTGTGACATGGGGATGTGTGTTGGTGTGTGTGACATGGGGAGGTGTGTGTGACATGCAGAGGTGTGTGTGACATGCAGGGGAGGTGTGTGTGACATGCAGGGATGTGTGTG